TTACTAATTTTTTATTTATCCAAAACAATAATTTTTAGTTTAATTTTTCATTAAATGTTGTTTTTAAGGTTTTTTTACAATCATAAAATTAATTTTAACAAATTTAATTCTTTATTACGATTTGAAAAAAAAATTATTACGGTAAAAAGTTTTAAATTTATAATTTGAACTTTCTTTGTGGTATATTTGGCATCCTATGGAAATTATTATATTATTTAATTTTTATTTTAACTTTATTTGAATTTATTGGATTTTATTTTATTTCTAATTTCATTCATTTATTTTGTCTTATACATTCTAAGCTCATTTGGTTTAATTTTTAGTAATTTTGTTCACTGAGGTAACTGCCACCTGTTAACAAGCACTGCTTTTAGGTGGCAGGCGAAAATGTACAGATTAGTTAAATGACTTAATATTTAGTTATTGTTTTGCCCTTAAAGGTTTTTCTCTTTTTTTATATTTTTGTTTTTTCGCAAATAAAATTATTATTATTATGCTCCTCCCCGAGGAATATCGAGTACTCTGGGGGAGTGAATGGCACCAGACTTATATGTTTCTGTCGAGTGTTGTGTTCGTGTTAATTTATTGGAATGAATGCAACGTATTAGCGTGAAAGGAAGGGGTTGCTTATAACTCCGCGCCGAGGAATATCGAGTACTCTGGGGTGACTGTGTGACGTCTAGAGAGTAAAAGGAAGTTAGTAGCGAGAATGGAGTCGGTTCAATCCATGTTTGTGGTAATGTATGTTTTGTATCTTGTATTTGTATCTATTCTGTAGCTGAGGTACAAACGATAGGCTAGCATTTTAGGATATCGACGTACTACACATTTAAAAGCAGTCAGAAAGCAAATCGAGACGCTCAAATGGCTGCAGTTTAAAACGAAATACGCGCGAAAGAATAGAAAAAGAAGGAAAACACGCAGAGGCCGGCGATGACCTCAGCTGTTTGGAGGCCCATAAAATTCTCACTATGTATATATCCAGATATTCTAGGTATACATTTATGATGTCATCGGCCCTTCAGTTTTATTATAAGACTAATTATATCAACTGTGCCATATTGATTATTGTACAATTTCAAAAATTGTTGGTTCTGTGCGATGTCATTGGTTACTCAACCCTCCATGTGTCTGATCCATGTGAAGACGTGACCTGGGGACCTTCTGACCATTTGATACATTGAACCCACCCGCTGAATTCTTTTTCCCCCGTTTAAAGGGCAAGGAGCCGAAAATGGTAAGAGGGCGATCAAATAAATTCATTAGCTCGATAGGTTGACAGGGGGTGAGGGTGTGAATGATGAATGTGAATAGGAGTTCAGGGGAGACGGGCGTGGTTCGTGGGCTGTTGCCCAGGCAACAGACGACTCACCCCCGACGGCGCTTTCACCCCCTTTCCGCTAATTTACCGCCAGGCCCACTTCCGGATGCGTTCTTATCTTCAACCGGGTTCCTTTGTTTTCCTGGAAAATTGAATTGGCCGAGTTGATCCCGTGTTAATTGATTGCTTGTCCTGTTATTATTATTAATTTTTAAGAGTGTTTTAACGCTAAGGTCATTTCACGAGCTAACACTTAAACTTCCTATCTTAGCTTAGCTATATCAAATTACAATAAATTTAAAAAAAAGCTTCGAAACGAACACTGGGGGCCTAGTAATTCCTTTAAATCACTCAAAATGTTGAGCCTTTACCTAAAGGATTGCAAAGTGCGACAATCGACCAAAATATGTTTTTGTCAAAATTCAGTCAAAATGATATGTATCGACTGACCTGTTATTATCATTATTGTGACGTTGAGTACGAAAGTATCATACATAATTGGTTTTAAAGACAGAAGAACTTGATAGCTATAGTTGATATCTAAAACATTGTTAATTTGCCCAAAAAATAGATCAGTAAGTCTTGTCTTGACTGTTCCGCTGATTTTGTCTCAAGTATATGAATATTTTGTCATATTCAACATGTGCATTAGAACATCTTAATAAGATTTCACTGGCAAAAACAATCCTCATAAGATCATTCAAGCAGCAATAAAATCACTAGGACGTAAAAAGGTCACGTGTAAAATAATCAACGAATCCATCCAAAATCTTCAAACCCTAGGGAAACAAAACAAACTGACAATAGCTCGAGCAGCAGGACACGAAGGAGCAATGAAAAAGGAAAGAAACTGGCCAGAGGAGGATCTGCAAGACCAGGTGGCGTTTTTAGATATTTCGACCGAATTTCTCTTGAACCAATGACGGTATCAAAAAACAAAAAATACTGTTTACAATTTTTTTTAGTCTAGTTTAAAATTTTTAACTTTTTTGGAGAAAAACTATACAGGGTACCTCAGGCCCGGTTCAACTTCAAATTTTCAAATACGACCCTATACATCCTGACAGATTATTTTAAAGAATAAAGAATTTTGAATTGAATTACACAACAAACAATGGTTCAATCGAATTTTAAATTGGTCATAAAATGACATCAGTAAATGTAAGAAATGCGTAGAATTTTCTCCATGGCCCACGACGTCCGATTCGTAGATAGAGGAAATTTTTGTAAAAACCCAACCAATGAATTCTTGAAATTTAGGACACAATTACAACAATTAGTACACTAGTAAAATCGAAACCTTGACAATTCGAAACGTCTGTAATAAAATAAACCTACTGGTCCCTTGAAAATTGAGTTAACTAGGTTCTATTTACATTAAAATCAATATTCATACCGATTAATATTAATTATTCTTTTGAATACAAGTAGATCCTTTTATATTTAAACATAGCCGATCAAATCTGAACTGTATTAGCGATAATTAGGTTCTTTTAACAATTATATTTGTTAAAATTTTGGTATGATCTATCCTCAATATCATATCGGTTTCTTTCGCTTCTTCATATTCACCCAAGAGATTTTCATCGTTAGTTATCGTGATCGTACTCTGTTAAAAGGATAATTGGGCCACTTATTATAAATGAAAGTTACCTTCATTATTTTAAGTCGTGCTTGACTGCTTGAATTTAATAAGAAGGGTTACAAGAAGAGCCCTATAAACACCGTTTTAACTGCACAATTTGTCTTAACTATTTGGGCCTCCTGTTCAGATTTTTCGAAGAAACAGGTCTATTTTTATCGTATAACACAGACAAATATATCGTTTTGTGTTACCTTTAGTGTGTTTTGAGTGAATGTATTTATTAGCGTGGATGTGGTGTGAGAGGACTGGACTCACTCACTCTCTCTCTCTCTCTCTCTCCCCCTCCCCCTCTCTCTCTCTCTCTTTCTCTCCCTCTCTATCTATCCACATAATCTCTCTCTCTCTCTTTCTCTTTCTCTTTCTCTTTTTCTTTCTCTTTCTCTCCCTCTGTTTCTCTTTCTCTCCCTCTCTATCTATCCACATAATCCTCTCTCTCTCTCTCTCTCTCTCTCTCTCTCCTCTCTCTCCTCTCTCTCTCTCTCTCTCTCTCTCTCTCTCTCTCTCTTTTTTTCTGTCTATCTATCTCTCTGCATAATCTCTCTCTGTCAAATCTACATGTCCATATATATATTGTATAATTTATTTCACTATTACTTATTTATTACTTTTCCCCTTCGAGTTTCTTGCGCATGGGATATTTTACAATTATACAATTGTTTACCTAGTTTTCTTTAAAAGAAACAACTTGCTTTGATAGTTTTAATCGAGTTTTTTTTAACGGAATTCAGAATATGTGTTATTGCTGGATAATAATAACTTTGTTTGATTATTATTTGGTCGTCACATTCCCCCCATGAGATATCTTTTTTTCTCAGTTTGTTTAAAGAGGAAAGACATGTTTCTTCGGTAATGTCTGTATTTAAGACCGGTTTTGACGGGTTTACATCGCGTCAGAATAAGATAGTCGTGGGACTTTTAGCACCCAAAATTAACTTTGTTCTATTTTTAAAACACGTCAGTGAATCGGTTTACAGGCTTTTGGTCTATTTTATATTTTTCAACGTTGCAACAGATAGCCATTATCTTTTGCAATCTACTGTTGCCAATTCTATTGTTGCACTTTCACCTGTTTAATAGTGGCGAAACGTTTGTTTATATTTGAGTTGTATATTCTAGATCTGTCGAGGTGATTTTTTTTTTTTTTTTTTTTTTTTTTAAATTTAGGTGTATATATTGATTGAAAGGAAATGCCATTGTTTGAAATTCTGTTAGATTTATCTCCCGTATTGTGCGTCAGGTTTCTTAAATTTTCTACCTAAAGAGAATGAGATGTGAGAAAAAAATAAAAACCATTTTGAATCCTTACTGCCCAAAAATCCTCTACAAACGGGGCCCCAAAACCAAAAATGGTTCAAAAATAAATCCCTGTCGTGAAGTGGAGGGGCAGTCGAAGAGAGCAGCACTGTAACTGGTGCACTCAGCTCGACGAGTCAGTCCGGCGGTGTTCGCTGTAGCCCCACTACCGTTCGTCGCACTTACACTGTTTTCCCTCGAGTTTCGTATATTTGTGACATCATGATGCACATGGGATATTTTTCCACAGACCGAGTGTAAGTTGATACAATTCCACTATTGTACTGTGTTTAAAGGCGCATTAGGTCAATTCTTACCGGAAATGGTCCTTTAGACTGGCATACACCCAAAAAAGGGAGTTGTTACGCTATATTATTTTACCTCGACGTTTCTCTCACTGTTCAGTTTATTTACTTTGTAATACCTCAATAGACACTTGTAAATATTACACCACCTGTTAAGGTTTTCTGTTCAATTGTATTTTACGAAAATAACTGCTTATTTACACTCTCGGTCGAGCTTAGACCATAGGGTGATCTTTCCTAAACACCATAAAAAGCCGAACGTGCTTAGTTTTAGAGCAAAGCCGTCCCTCCATCGTTACAGAAATAAGCAGGCTAACCGAACTTCTATTTATAAATCACGCATTTACACCTTTAAAACTCCGGATCCCTTGTAACATCCCACTTGGCTTTTGTCAAAAACCCAGATTTTTTTTAACATCATTTTCTTTTTTTTCAGCCAACGAGGCGAATAATGATGTAGCCGACGGAGAAGTCGAGAGCGAAGAAGAATCGGAAGAAGAGTGGAATTACACACCTGGGAAGGAAAACAAAGGTTCTTCGTCTGAACAGGTACTTGACAAATAGAAACTTGGGTTTTTAGTGCTTAACGCGGGTTTAAGTTCGGACTCGAAACCAGTTCATTGTTTATCGCCAATTTTCAGACCAATCCTAGCCTTATAGCTGAATCGTTTACCACTTCGTTGCACAACAAAATATGAATTTTTGGATCTTTGTTTTTAGAAGTTTTGTTTGATTCCAATAAACACATTTTTTTAAATAAGCCATGGTTTGTTGTATCGCTGATATAAAACCAAGATAGACGGTTGAAGTAATAATAGACGTAATACGATAATTCTAGCAATTTTTTTCGATCCTCGTCCTTTAAATGCTTGCAGTTTGACTATTTTTGCATAAATATGTCTAATAGTTTATAATATCGAGATTCTAAATTGATCCTTACGATTCAATTTATGCATGTTTTATTAGAGTCGTTATTAGTTATTAGGTAAATGTTTTCCTGACAGAGAGAAACGACAGATAGAAAACAATTCAAAATTATAGCGTACAATTTTAATCCGGGCTGATTGTCTCATCCAAGTCATTCATTTATTCATAAGAAAAGGTAGAATGGCCTTTTCTTATGAATGGGATTATTTTTAAAAGAATCCTTTCATTTGATTAAACAGAATCCTATAAACATAACATTGATAAATTCCACGAAGATATGCGTTTTAACAAGAAATGCTATCGTGGTAAAACAACTCTAGAACGAAATCAGGTATACGAAGGTCTCACGAAGCAGGTGGCTCGAGTAGAAATCGAAAGAGGCCAACCAAGCCGGTCTTGTCAACAAAGGAAGTCGGCCCATTTACTTTCATGGACAATTTAAAACTTTAAAATTCACAGGAACTCTTTACAAGAGATATTTGGAAATGAATGTTCAACTTATTCGCCAGAAACCAACCAGAAATCGTTTTAATTGGCGAATTTGAATTTAAAAATAACACCGCAAGGACAAATTGACTAGATGAAGCCTTTTTGTTCAAACCCGATAAATTTAATTGCCCCCGTTACGTTCAAAATAAACGTAATTCGGGGGGTTGATTGTTAAATGTTATCTGGTACGCTTAATCCCGCTGTACACAATGCCAAAGGGAAAAGTTCTTAAATTAATTGAATTTCTACAATTTCTTATCCGTCCATTTTCGTATTATATAATTTCTACTCACGTTTACAAGCTAATAAAGACATGTTTTCCTCATTTCTTTCGTATATACACTGACAAGCAAAAAATTACACTCCCTGTAATATAACTTGATTTTTATATATTAATCTGTTACGTTAAAACGTGTTTAACGTTTTATAATTGAGTCTTTGCCTATAAAAGTAAAGAAAAAAAAAATTGCTAAGGAAAATAAAAAATTAAAAAACAGACAGAGAAAATTAGTATCGAAAAGGCCTCGGCAAACTTTTTACCAGTCTGGAAATGTCTCTGCTGGAGTTTGGCCCATTCTTCAAGAAGAGTCCTTTCATGATCGTGGAGTGTCTCAGGATGTGATGGACGTGCTTTTATTCGCCTTTTTAGGTTATCCTTGAGGTAGGTTCGATGTGGTTCAAGTCTGAGAACGTTACACTGTTGAAGGTAGGTTTGTACTATGCGAGTGAGATGTGTGGACGGGCAAAAGTGCATTAGAATAAGATTGTCGCTGATTTCAACAAGGATAGGCATCGCGTGGTGTTCCAAAATTTCATCGACATAGTGATTGGCTCGAAGACCCTCCACGATCCACACCAACTCTGTGCGACTGCATTCACTTGAAATTGAAATTATTACAATAATTACATTGAAATTCACGCCCATACCATCGCTTGAAAAGACGTCTCTGGGAAAAGTTACAGGCTTCGTCGGCTCCCTTTTATTTCGCCTTCTCCACACTCTTTCTTCTGAAGGTCATAGGGCAAACCTACATTCATCTGTAAAAAGTTCAGCAGACCAATCATCCAAAGACCAGTGGCTGTGTTCTGGAGCAAATGGGAGCCGTGCAACTCTGTGTCGTGATCAATCTGGTCCTCTTACAGGGCAAAAAGCCATCAGTCCATACCGATTCTTCTCTTCTTCGAGCAGTGCATTCAGAAATTTGAACACCTTGAACTTCCTGAAGCTGATGAACCAAATGACTACAGTAAGGTGCCAGTTTCGCGAAATTCTCAGTCAAAAAACAGAAAACGGTCATCCTATGGTTCTGTTACCCTAGGGCAGTGGTCGGCAAACTCGTAATCCAATAGAGCCAAATATAAAAAAAAATTGAAGTTTATTCAAAGAGCCATTTTTTAAACTTAAACTTTGTTTAGTAGACTTTTTTATGGAAATAATTAGAATTAAAAGTACACTCTCGAGCTTGCCTTTCCTGAATATGTCATAGTTTAACTAACGGTACATTAAATAAAACTTGGTATCATTCTTATATAAAAATATTTATTTAAAAATATAACAAGTTAAATAATATAAAAGGTATCCTTAAAAAACTACAAATACTCCACTAATGTGAACAATGGCCTCCCATTTCCCTGGAAAGTACCCAGTAAGTCAGGTTTGTATGTTGTTTTTAATTTTAGGAACGATTCCAAGTTCTCTTCGATAAGCCGATTTCTTAATCTACTTGATAAAGTTCTTCCTTGAAAATGATTGTTCGCATAAATATGTAAACCCAAATAAGGAAAGAACAGCAAACGCTAGTTTCTTCAGTTGATCAGAATCATCCAGATGTTAAAAATCAACATATCTTCCCTCGCCAGATATTTCAAAGCAGACAATTTGTGCTGTAAACTTAATTCACATTTATTTTTCTCCAATAGCTGTAAATCGGTTTAAAGACGCTCGAAATTTGAGTTCCAATATTCTTTATTTTTTAAATCCAGCAACTGCATTTCAAAGCTGCCAATATATTAAAAGGCAAAAAATTTATTTATCTTAACATGACATTCAGAGTTTTTTTAAACAAAGGCTAGCGTCACTTTGTTGTTTCTAAAGTCTTTGAACCTGCTGAGCAAATTTCTTCAGGAAAAGTGCTTCCTAATGAATAATACAATGGTAGGTATCTCGTGATTATTTTTTTCTTTAAAAATAGCGACAACCCAATTTCTTGCACCTGTCACACTTTTCGCTCCGTGTCTGCACTAAACATTTAGTGAAAGCCGCGGTTTGCCGACCACTGCCCTAGGGCATCCAGAACCGGGCCTCTACGGTAGGACCCAGTTTCTCAAAAACGTCTAATGGCGTCTTGCAGAGTATCGTTGGGAACTCCTTGCATTTACTTCTGCTCTGTTCCTTAAGTAGTGTACACTCATAGATAATATGTAACAATTTGTTTTGTATCTTAGCTGGTCTGGTACATGCTGGATTTGGCACAGACAGTTGTATTCGCACCACGACAACTCAATACAGGAGGAAAAGCAAATTTGCTGTGTATGAATTTAAAAAGAAAAAAAGAAGTAGAATCCTAGATGCAGATTTTTTAAATCCTTCAGAATAGTTACGCCACAGGCACAAGCCCACACAGTTCAAATATTCTTTACGACAATACTAGTCAGATTTGCAGGCACACACGTATTCCATTTCTTTAATAGAGAATACTCTAAGATAATATATGGCCTAATTTTTTTGTGCCTTAGCTGACCACATTACATATATGGTATATATGAATCAACTTTCCATGCTCCAAAACTTATGTTGAAAGTACTCGTTTTATAATTGCTACTTGTTGGAAAAGCTGGTTGCTTTTTACCTTTTTGATGATATGTTAAAATAAATTCTGTAGCCTTTTGTGTTAAAATGTAGTTAATGATGTGATAATATAATTGATCACCTCTCACCCTCTTGAATGCAGGTAGGCGGCGATAGGCAATAGAAACAAAAAATACTGGACATGTTCAAACATTGTGAATAGTCAATTATGATCAATCTTAACGTCATTATTATCAAACATTATTCCTGTACATCTCTCGACCGATTCTATAATTTCTCCTTTTCTCAGTACGAGATTTTTAAAATCTCCTTTAAAACTGTTTGCATTTTAGGAAATGAACCTTCACATATACTTAATTTTTTTTTAACCATAGTCCATGGTATGGTTTAGTATGGAAATTAAAACAAATGACCATTTAGTACAAAAATACAGTTATTAAGTTTTTATTGCTCTTCTTTTTTAGGTGACAGATGTAGGGTAGTTTTATTTCTCTATCTTGCATTTTTTGCTACTTGTTTTACTAAAATTTCTTATTAACAAAAGGACTGCAATTGCTCTAATGAGATTTGTTACTTTATTTAGAATTTAGATGAACAAGACATGTCACAGCTGAACCCAAATGCGGCTGAATTCGTCCCAATTTTCAACTCGGTTAAGGAGACGGTTCTCGCCTCTTCGCCGATGAAGGGAGCCGAACAGAATCTTGAAAATATTAAATTACCATCCAAAGAAGAGTTTTATTTAGAGATCTCGCAGAGGCCCGGTGATCTCGACAGCTTAAGTGAGTGGTAACATTCATATTAAAATTAATTTTAGTGATTTTGTAGTTCTTAGTTATTTTCCAGTTGATTTATTAATTGATATATGTTTCATTTGTATGTTTTCCCTCACAAAACAGTAATATTATTTGTGAGCAACTTAAATTTAATGTTATTTTATTTTTCTCAAAACGGAATTATTTATAACAGAAAGTAACATTGACTGCCTAAAACTTTTGTGAGTAGAAATATATTTTCCGAAATGTGAATTGCCAAACTCACTTCAAATCATTCTATGGAAATAACATTCGTGCAAAACAATCCTTTTATTTTATAATGCATTAGTGAATTTTAGTGTGTTATTTTGTCTGTTTTAGTTAGTACACCTTAATTTGTCCAAAAGATTTTATTTTATTTTATTCCTTTTTGGAATGTTTAGTTTTAAATGTGAATTGTAAAAAAATATTCAAATTTTGACACTGATGATAGAAGATATGAATTAATCGAAGAAGTGAAGTTCACATCGAAAGGATTTCAAGAATATTGCTGAATGGATTCAAGTTTATAATATTTCAGAGAAAAATATTGAGATGTTTTATTTACATAATGATAATTATTGCAGGTAATGAGAGAGCAGAGCATGTGAAAGATGATTCTTTAAATTGTGTAGACTTGACATTGGCTTCAACAAAAGTTGAAGTCGGAGATGAGTCCTTTGAGGGTTTCGATCTTTCCGGGGAAAATGTCAAAGAAGCCACCTCGATGCCGTTGAATGAGACAAACCCATTCTCTCAAGATAAAATCCAAGAAGAAATGGTTCAGGATCATTTCGACGTTACTGATTTTAACTTCAAGACTTTAGAACCTAAACAGTCGGTTGTTGACGATGACAACTTGACAACTAAAGCACCTGCATTCAGCCTTGAATTCCTCTCGGATAAGCCAGATATTTTGTCCCCGATTGAATTGAATCCAGCTCACACAAATCTAGACCATCATACGAGTTCTTCAGGCTTTGATTCTGAAAGTGGAAATGATGAACCAGATTTGACATCTACAGATAAATGTGATCTAGTCTCAGGAATTTCATTTATGAATGATTGTGAATTGGAGAAAAACGTAGTCGCTGATGAAGGAGCTCCCCTTTCTGAAGGAACAGATAGCCCAGCGATGTCTTCCCCAGTAGTCAATGAAAAAGAGATTGACTCTTCAGAAAATAAGAAGCTTGAAGAAGTCAGTAATGAAACTGTACCGATGAACAATGACTTAATGAACAGTATATATGATACTGTAGGTTCTGCGTTTTCCGAAGGTGTTGAGCATCCTGACTTATTAATGAAAGAAACAGATCTTACAAATGGGCTGGTTAACGAGGTGTCCTCTCCACAGGAATCTGCTACTTGTTTCAGCGATTTAAAAGACGAACTAACCCTAGCCCCTGAGCCCGAACAAACTGTACCAGAAGAAAAAGAACATATGCATAAAAATCCTTTTGCATTTGATATGGCTGAAAATCTGCAGACCATGATTCCAGATAATTCTCTGGACGTTATGGAACAGAGTGTGAAGGAAGAAAGTGTTCCTAAAGAAAAAGAACTTCATGTCGACAGTTTGCAAACAGTTGATTTCGTTCAAGATTTGTGCTTCAGTGAATGTATCACTGTTAAATCAAATGATTCTCATTCAGAAAATGATGGGTTCGAATTAATAAACACCGAAGAAGATTCGTCTGGGATGAAACAACTAAATGGTGTTCCTGAACCAAATGTTAATTTAGAAGCGTCCAACCCCGATCAAAATAATGATTCTGTAACTGAAAACTTGATTGAGAATGTTACTCCCACTTTAGAAATTAATCAGAGCCTAATCCCTGGGGACATGCTTGGCTCTTTTGAACACATAGAAAAATGTGAAGTAAATACTTTGCATATGTCAGGCGATTTGATGGAAACAGTCACTGAAGAAAGTGAACACGAATTAAGCAACCTTGAGAAAGTTGTAAATGATTTAGTTCAAACTGAAGTTGGACATGTCAGCCTTGAGGAAATTAAATCCGAAAACACAAATGAGGAAAACCTTTTGCTTGATGAAATAAATACTGAAAGCAAAAATGTAGAAAACGTTTTGCTTGATGAAATAAAAACTGAAAGCAAAAATGTAGAAAACGTTTTGCTTGATGAAATACAATTGGAAAGCCCAAATGTAGAAAACAATGTTAAGCTTGATGATACCAAATCTGAAAGCACAAATGTAGAAAACAATGTTTTGCTTGATGAAATCAAATCTGAAAGCACAAACATTGAAAACAAGCTTATGCTTGATGAAATCAAATCAGAAAGCACAACTATAGAAAACAATCTTATGCTTGATGAAATCAAACCTGAAAACACACATGTAGAAAGTTCAGTTGAAATTCCTTTAGAAGAAGTACAAAAAGTTAAAGAACAGCATGAGGATGCAAGTCACACAGTTGTTGAACAAGTACCCAAATTTGAAGATAGCTTTTCACCAGTTGTTGAAGAAACTAAAAACGATTTGGTTTCTGAGAGCCAGCCTGAGGTACCAGCTGTAGTATCGCCTGAATTAGAATGTATAAACGTTGATGTCGATAGCATACAGAAATTTGAAAATGAAATCGCAGTGACAACGCCACCAACAACGCCTGCCCCGGGTCTTGCTGAGGAAAATAAAGAAGGCCTCATTGCTGCTGCTGTTGCTGCAGCAGGTAAATTATGGCTTCAGATGTGTTAAAAATTGCATTGAAACTAATCTGCATGCTGTGGAATAACTGCATGACCTTGTTAAATATTAATTCCTCAATTTTCTAACATTTCTAAACATCTATCTTTTTTATTCTGAAAAATGTTTTGTACATAATCCACTTTGTAACTTTTCTCTGCATGCGTTTCATCACCAACATATCAGTATACAAATAATAATTATATGTGAAGCCTAATGGTTGAGGCTCTTAATCTTTTTGCACTATTGGTTTTTTAAATTATTATTTGGATCCAATTGCACAAAGTAATATTTTTCATTCACTAGCATTTTACTAATTTGTCAGGTTTTATTATTAAATGTTTATGTCTGCGTTTGAATTTTATTTTCAAATTCATGTCACCCTGCTTATTTTTTATAAATACACTTTCAGAGGAGGCAAAGTAATCTAAACATTTTAATTTTCTATTACACTTCTTAATTTGTTTTTAAATATGCTGCTTTTATTGGTAATTTGTGAACTGAAAATTAATATTGACATAAATAAAATAAAAGAGGGGTTAGTAGACTCATTCATAAGCCTTTATTTGGTGTAATGCTTTAACCAGTGTCAATATTAAAAAAAATAATAATGTATTAATTAAAATATTTTTCCCTATATTTCAGGTGCAGCAGCAGTAGTTGCTGCAACAAGCCAGCCATCAAAAACTGAGGATAAGACTTCTGTAAAGAAAACAACTGCTGTTGGTGCAAAGAAGCCGGAAGTGAAAACAACTGCAAAGACAGCTACAACAGCGAAAACAACTGCAAGGCCAACGACAACTACGCTTGCAGCCAAAAAGCCAGCTGCAGCTACCGCTAAAGCTCCAGCAAGGCCGACAACAACCTCTGCAAAACCAGCGGCTCCTAAACCGTCTACACCCACTTCAAAGGTTGCTTCAAACAAGCCTTCCAGCAAACCAAGTACACCTACATCAAAAACACCCACAAGCCCAGCTGGCGGTGTGAAATCTGCCATTACTAAAACATCTGTCACTGGAACAACAAAAGCCCCACTGGCAAAAACCGCTGCCCCTGCTGCAGCTAAACCTAAGGTGGCCAGTACTGTTGCCGCAAAACCAGCACCAAAGACAGAGGTGAAGAAGGAAGTTAAAACAGCAGCACCTGCACCCAGACCATCATCTGCTAAGCTAACGTCTTCAAGGCCCTCAAGTGCGACAAGTACTACAAAGTCTACTACAGCTAAGCCTCCTACTACAACCACGGCTAAACTGACATCTACAGCTAAACCATCCCAAGTGCTGAAATCAACAACTACAACTAAAGCACCAGTAGCTTCAAAGCCAGCTGTTTCAAAAGTTACAGCAAAACCTTCTTCCACAACAAGTACATTAAAAACAGCTACCACCAAAACCACAACAACTGCAAAAGCCACAACAACCACAGCTGCTCCAAAACCCGCTCCAGCCACTAAACCTAAAACTGCTGCACCAACAGTGGTCAAGAAGCCATTGGCAAATGATAAATCGGCAAAAGAAACCACCAATCTAAAGCTTTCTACCACAAAGACAGCTGTTGCAAAGAAGACAGACATTAAAGGCAAATCAATTGAAAAAAAAGTAGCAAATGACTCATTGGCCCAGCAGGTACCTACAGTGACAACAACTAATGGGCACAATGGTCTTATTAATGGAGTTACAAGTCACGATGATTCATCTCATGTTGAAATTATTGATGCGCTCAATTAAATAAATGGTTTTAAATTTTCTGTAGAAGTCTGATTATAAATGTCTACTGTTTTATAGTATGTTAATACTTTAGAAAAATAAAAATACTAGTAATTTTATATTAAAATTTTTAAAAAAATTAAAAAACCGAATTTCTACAGAAGTGAAAAAATAAAGTATACTCCGGTTCACAATCTGCTAAATTGTTGCATTATACCTACATATTTTTTTTTAAATCCCGTTGAAAAAACTCATTTTATTTTAAACATGTATTTTTAAAGAGTTGAATTTTATTTTGTATAGTAAGGAAAGCATCTTACGGGTGCGAGACTGTTGTTTGTTTATTGATTTTATTTTCTTTTTCTTTCTTTTTTTGCTTAAGTAAGGTATGGGCTGTGTAATTTTGTCCTATCTAAATATGAGCTAACAAAATATTTAAAGGCAAAAAAAACATTACGAATGAGGTCTGAATTTTTACTGTTTAATAATTAGGGCATTTTTGTATATATTATCAAATAAAAGTGTAAATTATGAGGTTGTTATATTTAACTGTGAAATTTTGATTGAAGTCTTATGAGAATTAAGAGGCCCAAGGAGTTTCTCTGATTTTGTTTTGTCAGCGGTAATATTTTATTTATTTAAGTTTTATTAATGTTTCATCGTTTTTTAAAAAATTGGGACTACAACAAAATTTTACTAGATTGGAAATAGTTTTAAAACGAAATTACTATTGATAAAAAAAGTACATATTTTTATTTGTTCTAGTTTTGGAAAACTTTTTTTTTCTTTTTTGTGTAAATAATATTCATAAAAGTTATCATGTATTAAAATGAGACTATTACTGTATTTAGGTGCTTTTGCTTGCAATTAATTACAAATCTAAAAATGCACGTATTGTTATCTAACATACAAAAATGTCAAAATGTATATTTGACATTGAATGACTAGGTATATAAGGAGGAATTGTTTTTGTATGCTTATTTGATTAACACTTGAAATGTGTTGAAAACAAATTATAAGACATTAATTTTAGTGTTGTCAAGCTTAATTGTCATTATTGCAATATATTAAAATTCAATATTTTTTCACTAAATGCGTAATATGTTTGCTTTTACCATATCGTTTTATTTCAGTTAGTCCCATCAGAAGTTGACTTATTATTTTATGTAGTTTTGTTTTTATGGTATTCATTTATGTTCTTTTTAATATTGGAATAATAGTAATATTGAGCTGTTTAAATAGTTTTATACATGAGATGTGTACTGGAACTGAAAGCTACATTCGTTGTCACATTATTTTTACTGGTTGCTTGTGCTCTTTTAACAACAAAAGAACTAATAGTAAATGCAGCACAAAACATTTTTATACAGTATATTATTGAAATAAATAAATCTATATAAATTTGGCCTTATTTTATTAAATTGACCCATATTCATGTAGAATAATGCAGGGATAGGACTAGAGACCTTAAAAGGCGCTGTGCCTTAACTGTTGCATCCACTGATACCCCTCATAAGAATTTAGCTCTTAATATTTAATAATATTCATTTTAGGTTTTTGTTTTTAGACTTTTTATAGGTGTGAGAGACCAGAATCATCACCTTTACGACAAGGGTGTTGGCAGTCCAGCCACCGTTTTCCCAGTTAGGCTATCAACGACTAGGTAATTTCAGCCCCACCTCCATCAATCTCTAAATCCAAACCTAATCACACTCTCGGTCACTCGTAAATGCATTACCAATGGAGTATTTGACATTCCACCATCAACCCTCTCACACTGCACATTCACACTAATAAATACTTATTTAGAAATCGTGAGATGCGGTCTGGTGTGATGTAGGTTTCAGAAAAACATTTTCTTATGTGCCAACATTTCGATCTTTATTGAGATCATCTTCAGGGCCTGGGATTTACAAACATTGTTTACATATAACAATTACATTTTGGATGTAGAAAAGTGAATTTATACAATGCAAAATATATTTTTTTTAATATTCAATCAAAGTATTTCTACTCACTCAGTGTTTTTCTTCTATGTAATTGTGCCATTCTTGCGTGTCGTGTCGAGAGTGCCAGTGAGATTTTGCTATTTTATGTATATATACGTTGGATTTTGAAGGGGTGGGGAAGGATGGTCGGTATGGAAAAGACATTTTTGTATAAGACGTCGGCTTCTTTGAGGTGAAAAGAGCCGACGAAGGGAAAAAATGTGTTGGTAATGGTTCGGTCAGATTATCCTTTCAGGATTATATAGAAAGGGATAAATAGGAAAAGGAAAGCTAAATTGTTGGGAAATTAGACTATGTGAAAAATATTTGATGTGTGGAATGTAATATGATGATATAGGTATGTTATCTGTATTGAATTTGATTAATGATATTGGCGTAGCTGCGACTGAGTTTACATGTATCTGTTCTGTAATTGATGCTGTGTTTATCTCTGTTGATATAAACCATTTCTAAGAAATTACGTTTATGTTTGTTTTGTTCTGTGTGTAATACTTTTGGATTTTTGAAGTCGAAATTGTGTTGGTGTTCAAGATGGTGGGTAGCGAGTGCTGTAGGATTTTGCTTAGGTTTTTTGCAATCATAGATATGTTGCTTTACTCTCTTGTCCAGATATTGGGATGTAAGACCGATGTAAGTTGCCGGACAGTTTAAACAGTTGATCTTGTAGATTACGTCAGATTTATTTGTTATTGGTGTGGGATCTTTAATTTTGGAAAAAAGTGTTTGAATTGTTTTATAATTTTTGAAAGCTATTTTGAAGTTATCGGACGAGAGAAATGTGTTTAATTTATGTGATAGGCCTTGAATAAATGGCATGGAAATGTATGCTGGTTTGTTTGTATTTGATAGACTTAATGTAGTATTATTAGTAATAGTGGATGGTGTTAGTGTTGAGTTGTAGTTGTTGATTATTCTGTTAATTATGTGTTTAGGGTAGAGATTGTTATGGAGGATCTGTTTGTATATCTTTATGTTCTTGTGGTGAAATGATTCATGGCTCAGGGTAATCATTCTGTGAAGTAACCCTTTGGCCGTGTTTATTATTGTATGAAGAGGATGGTGAGATGTAAAGTTGAGGTAGCGATCTGTGTTTCTTGGTTTTTGATACCAATCTGTGATTAATGTGCCATCTGGTTGTTTTTTTACGAGTGTATCTAAAAATGGTATTTTTTTTGTTGTTTTCGATTTCATGTGTAAATGCGTGGGTGAAAGCTATTAAATGTATCTAATGTAGTTTGAATGTGATCTGTGTGAACAGCTGCCAATATATAATCTACGTATTTAGTGAGGAAGGGTAATGTGAAAGGAAGTTGTGGTATGTCTGTATTTAGTAGATGTGTCATAATTATGTCTGCCAGTATTGGGCCTAGGTTGCTCCTCATGGCTACACCAATAGTTGTTTGTAAAATTGATTGTCGTATGTAAAATATCCGTTAACACAGCAGTGTCGGATCATTGTAATGAACGTGTTCTTTGATAGAGTTGTATGTGGTGTTATGTTGGGCCATTTATCTTTAATAATGTTCAGTGTTGTATCTATTGGGATGTTGGTAAACAGTGAAGAAACATCTAGGGATATGAGAGAGTAGTGTGAGGCATCTCACGATTTCTAAATAAATATTGATTAACGGTCACTAATCACCACACATTTCTACTAATAAATACATTCAGTGCCAATAAACACAAAGTGAGATATTGAAGTATTATTTACAGTAAAACAGCTTTATTCCCTCTAAAAATTGGAACAGGAGACCCAAATACTCGCAGTGGTGCTCAATCACAATTCTCATATTGGGTGGCATTCCTACATGCTGTCTAATGACACTCTTATATTAAGTAGGACGAGCAACCTTTCTCTACAAGCCAGACACGGCAATGGCACAGATGTAAGTGTCCATATGTGAACTTGACATGACCTATTCTTAATCGGGTGAGGATGAGCCCCTATTCTACAAGTCACATGCTTTTGATACGTGAGAACTTCTGTGCATTTAGCTTTCATTTAATCATGTTTTTTAATGCATTTTTAGCGACAGAGGGCCAGACCTGATGCCCTTCAGTTAATAATTTGTAATATTAACCCCTACGATTTGGTAGCAGCATCACACAATTTTACTGCTGTAGAATACTGATCTCAATTATTTAAAAAGAAAAACTAAGTTAACATAAAAACATTTTATTTTAAATAAAAGGACCTTCTATTAAGTAATTTCTTCTTTGCGTTTTCTAATTTATTTGTTGAGTACATTGTCCCCAGGCGTGCAACTGAAGATCTCTCTGTCGATCTGAGATTTGTTGAAAATTGATGCTTTGTAGTTTTTAATTTTGATATCCGTCCTTTTCTCTCTCGTTTCAGTTGTCTTCCTTGAGAATTTGTTTTTGCCTCATCTTTCTCAATGAAAATAATAGGGCTCACAGAGCTTTTAAAGGGTTTAAAATTTATCCAGTCCTCTTCATCTGTCGTGCCAATAATATTTTTAGTGTTCCGATCAATACTATGATTATCACCGTCATGTAGATAGTCATGTTTATTGTCAATGTCAGTGTCTGAAAATGCCAACTCACTATCTGATGAGCCATTAATAATGTTAGCAACCTGTTTGTTTAAATTCAATATGTGCTTATTATGAGATATAACAGATATGTCAGAAGAATATCCTCCGTGTTCAGGTGAACTACAGGATGTCAAAATATCCAAAATATTTTTTGCCTGAGATATAGGTTCATCATTTGAATTCCTTAAAAATTGCAAAATTCCCTCATTTTCAAAGTTCAATTTGATTCCTTTTTCAATACTATTAAAAGTATTCTTAATTGTTGTTGAAGAAGACTCATTAGATGAAGAATAACAGCTTGTTGATATAATTCCTTGTTTTTTATCGATATACAGTTCTCCTGAGTAAATTAAACTTGAATCATCATCATCGTCAATTTTAGAATTTTTGCAATATAGATCAACTTCAAGATCACTATCTGTTTTGTATATTATTCCAGATATAGAACTCCTTGTGTTTTTAACATTAACCCTGCTGTAGGTCCTCATTGGTTTAGCATGTTTAACCATGTTGTCTGTGAAGAGATTTTCTTCTGCAGTATTTGTATTGAGATGTTTTTTGTTATAATTTTCATCAGAAATCGCATATTTAGTTGGGTCGTAAATAGACTCATGCGACAAAAATTCATCCTCTTCGGAGACACCGGATGAAGTAGACTTAATTTTTAACTGTGAAAGCCGCCGTTGCACTTCATCACAATGATCCATTTGTCTAATGGCCAATGGATTGCTGTCATAAGATTCTGGTGTAAACATAAATGTATCAATGGTGCTGTTCGAATCAGAATTTCGGCTGTACAGCTTAGTCATATGTCTGATATTAGCATCTGAATCATCAACACCAACTTTGTCATCCTTTTTATTCCTTTTTTTGCAACTGGAAAGTTTTCCTTTTTTACTACTTTTCTTTAATTTGTTTTCCTCTTTTATGAGTTCTCTGAGCTTTTTCCTAAAAACAAGTATATTAAAACAGCATGATGAATGGTTTTGACAAGTGTTAAATCATGTTTGATATTTAAAAAAAATGTTATATGGGAAAACAAATTTATAATCATATTACTAAAAATAAAAATTAAAACATTAGCACTTATCTTTTACAATTATAAATACCTGTTAATTTTTCCGCAAACATTTGGTACATTTAAATGATTGTAAACCTTTCCTTGGATTTGTTCGTTGGTTAAAAATGAATAATTATGGCGATAATAACTGACGATTTTGTCATACTGTATCGCTAACTCCTTGGTTTTCTTTTTAAAGAAAAAATTGTAACACTCCTCTTTGCTGCCCCACAATTTTGTATTCAGCGACAGTAAAACTGAAAAATCAAATATTTCTTAATGATTTAATGTAATTATCATAATGATGTTAAAATTATTGAACAGCAAATTTTTAATTTAAGATGTGTTGTGGTATCAGCGGTGTATCAGGGTTTTTGTCAGTCAGCTAGTTCTCAGGGAATTCATTCATTAACACAATAACATTGCTAAATTGGAATTTAATTAGTTCGGTGTACACAAATTCGTTTTCATTAGGAAATTTAGAAAATTGCACCATATTTTGCACCATGGTTTTGAAAAGTGTTAAATCATATTTGACCGTTAAGCATTTTTTGACCTGCCGTAGGTAAAGCAGTAAAGTGTTAAGCATCTTTTTACCTACGGCAGGTCGAAAAAATGCACTTTGTACAATAAAAATACACATTAATTCACAATTCATAAAGATTTATAAGAAAGAAGTTTTTTGACATAAAAACCACATTGTGAAAACAAACCTTTTTAATAGATGCAGAGTATAAAGAATAATCTATTACTCTGCATTAATAGATGCAGAGTATGGGTGTAGATATGGATAGATTAAAAAATAAAAATATTTGTCAAATGAGGGGTTAAAGTGTTTCTTTGCATATTAAAGGAAGACATTAAAATGGTAATAAAGTGCTTAAAATCGTAAATATTAAAAAAATGTAAATAAATATCAAAATTATATATTAACAAGTATAACTTTTTAATTGGTAGAAGCTATAAAATTTGACTAGGTTTAATTAGTGCACCAAGGCAATTATACAAAAATGCCAAAATTGTATGCAACGTCATAAACGTGACCAATGATATAAATTTTGGTGTTCTCATCACATGGGCCCTAATAAACAGCTGTTTTCGATTTTTGAAAAGTTGAAAAATAATGGGTCAACCTTAATCAAAAATTCGAGTTCGTTGCAATGCTTTGCACCAAGCATTCTATGGGCTAATTACTAGATTTTATTTAGGAAAAAAGCTGGAAAATATTAATTAATTTATTACAATTACTTAAATTGTTGATTTTCGTTTATTGGACAATAAAGCTTTACATCTCTCTAAAAAAATCGTTCCTTCCAATTGAAACCATTAAAATAAAGAATTGCAGATAATTTTTTAAACAACTCTTAAGTCTTACCCATTTTGACGTTGACGAAACGTAAATGAAAGTATTATTTAACCACAATGTCTTGATTCGGGTCGATTAGTGTCTCAAGCCAAAGCCGAAATTTCGAACTTTTATAGAACTTTGAAGCCTAAACAAAAGCAAGCCTAAGACGAGATGACTAAATACAAGACGTCCAAAGTTTATGAATAAACGGACAGATAAACGTTCCATTAATAAAAACTATTTTCATTTATTCTTTATGTGTGGAAGACAAAACGATTTTTTTCGGACGTTTCTGTTTGATTTTTAAATTATGCATTATTTTAGCCAAGGCTTAGCAATCCTGGCCCAAAAGGCAAATCTGGCGTTTAGTGAATAAAAGTATCAACGAGGACAATCTTAAACTCGAATGAAATAACAATTTTTTAAAGTTGTGATGGTCCTCAGTGTTTTAGTATTGCTAAAGGCGGATTCTGTCGATAACTTTGGCTAATGAAATTTCTTCCATCTAAGATCACCCAATCTGTAAAGAGAACTACTTATTTTCCAAAATGAAAACTGAAGCCTTTCCCTTTTATGAGCTGAACTGAGCAGAGGTTTAGGAACAAGATGTTTGTTACTGAAAGTATGTCCTAGGGTTCCAGTCTTTCATTTCTACTGGAAATGGAAATATTCCTGGCTTTCTTTGATTACTAATTCATGTCTAGTGACGATTGTGGAAGCGTATTTCTGAATGTACCTGTCTCTTTTGTCTCCAGATTAAAGTCGACATCTTCTGAAGACGCCCTGTTTCCTGAAGAGTTTAAAAATCCGGCCTATAGTCGAATTTACATGGGCCTTCGAACTAGCAGAAGTCATTTTCCACTGTTTTTTCTTCTTTCTGGAAATAACTAGCTTGTCTCCTGCTGCGAGTACTTTGAATATAGCTTCCGGATTCTGCAGTGACCAGTCAACAGACCTAATGTCATTCATTCTAGACCTAACACGTCCTAGGTTTAGTTCTGCCGTTAGTTTCTGAGATGGTGCTTTATTTTGTCACACACACCTCTGTCCTGAAATATATTCCCATTGATGACTTATTTTTAACCCATTGTCCGATCGATCTACATTTTGGATCAGGGCCAATCAGCAGGGACATGCCGGGTCATCCATTAGGCCAGAACGTGCAAAGTATCGCGATGCTTCTGACCTGTGAAGGGCAAGTTGAATGAAGAAGCTATACATCCACTTCCCTATTGATCTAATGTTTAAGAATCGAACCTTTGTCCCTTTACCATTGTCCATTTTGTATGATTCTTCTTACCGCAGCCGTAAGAAGGAAGTACATTGAATTCCTTATATACGTGATAGGGATTAATGCGACTGACAATTCCAATTCATTATTTGTTGCGGCCAATATCTGCACAGGCTTGTTTCTGCTGTTCCGAGTCATATATCTCCAGAATCTCCAGTGTCCAGTCAGCAATCGTACTATCATTCTAGTCCTGACGGGTCCTAGGTTTAGTAGTTTCTGCGATGGTCCATTGGTGAACTCTATCGCATGCCTCTATCCTAAACAATCTCGTTCGAGGACTTATTCTTAACCTATTATCTGATGGGTGCATTTTTGGTAATTTGGTATGTCGCAAAAGGCTCGTAGGGCATGTTTTTTACGTATTAGCAAAAATTTATAGCATTATTTATGCTAAAAATTTATTTTACCCAAAAAACCCAAAAAAAATCGAAAATTTTTTTATTGTCCTTTTAGATGTAAAAGGCTCGTAGGACACGTTTTTTAACGTATTTTTGAAGAAAAACTAAAAAAAAAACCAAAAAATTGAAAAAAAATTGTATTCTTTTTCGATGTAAAACGTAGGCACGTTTTTTTACGTATTTTTCATGAAAAACGAAAAAAAATGTTATTGCCCTTTTGATGTAAAAGGCTCGTAGGACACGTATTTTTACGTATTTTTAAAGAAAACGCAAAAACCCCCCAAAAATTGAAAAATTTTTTATTGTCTTTTTCGATGTAAAAGGCTCGTAGGAAAAATTATTCTTTCGATTTCAAAGGCTCGTAGGACACATACTTTTCAAAAAAAAATTTACTGTCTTTTCCGATGTCCAAGGCTCGTAGAACATGTATTTTTACGTATTTTGCAAGAAAAACGCAAAAAAAATCCCAAAAAAATCTAAAAAAACTTTTATAGTCCTTTTCGATATAAAAGGCTCGTAGGACATGTATTTTTACGTATTTTGCAAGAAAAACGCAAAAAAAACAAAAAAAATAGAAAAAAACTTTTAGTCTTTTTGGATGTAAAAGGCTCGTAGGCACCTTTTTTTAAATGTATTTTTCGAGAAAAACAAAAAACCCAAAAAATAAAAAAAAAATTGTTTTTTTCGATGTCAAATGCTGGTAGGACTCGTATTTTTCAAGAAAAACGCAAAAAATCGAAAAAAATTGTATTGTCTTTTTCGATGTCAAAGACAGACACGTATTTTTCAAGAAAAACGCAAAAAAAAAATCGAAAAAATGTTTATTGTCTATTTCGACGTCAAAGGCTCGTAGGACACGTATTTTTCAAGAAAAACGAAAAAAAAAATTATTGTCTTATTTGATGTAAAAGGCTAGTAGTAGGGTTTTTTTTTTTTTTGAAAAACGAAAATCCAAAAAATCTATGGTTAGGGATGGATGCTGTTGCAGTCAGCCCAACGGGCCATAGGAATAGGCCAGGAGTTGGCCAGGATCCGGCTAGAAATTAGCCAGGAGGAGCCAAAGTCAAAGAGGAGCATGCCAGGATTTGTTGAGAAATTCGCCCAAAGGAGCCGAAGTCGGCCAAGAGTTGGCCCGGAGCAGGCCAGGATTTGGCAAGAAGTTCACCAGGAGGAACCGAACAGTCGTCAAGAAGACGACAGCAAGAAATTCGCCCAAAGGAGCCGAAGTCGGCCAAGAGTTGGCCCAGAGTAGGCCACGATCTGGCAAGAAGTTCGCCATGGTCATGTTTCTACTATGAATACTGAAGTTTAAAAATGAGGTTAAATATTTAGAAGTTCTCTTTGGCATAAACTCAATCTAGAACTTATCTAAAAATCTGTCTTTTCTAATTTTGTACAATGTTGTAGAGTCAAATCACTACAATATTTTTTCATATTATTCTCAATTATAAAAAGCCATGGCTTGTGAGAGGAATAGAACCCAGAACATCTAGCATACAACTATGTGTCAGACACTCACAACTCATCTACCAAGGTTCACTGTTTTCTATTAGTACCATTACTAAAGCTAGATGATTTTGAAACAAAAAATATCAATAATCATACAAGACTGGTGCAACAATCTTCAGTTTATTTGTTAGGACCTTGTCCAACTGTTCCACTTTGGTTTCTCAGCAGTGGTTCCTGTAAATGTTATCATTGTAAAAGTAAATGCTTCTTACAGCCTGGTATTGTTAACTTTTCAGTTCGACAAAGCCTTTTTTATTATTATCTCTTATAAGGAGCACAGCAGATAATATACCAGCGACTATCTATGAGAAAAAATGTATCAATTTTTGTTTGTAAAATTAAAACATGATACCTTACAAAAACAATAGATAGCGAAAAGACAATTTCGACTATAACGTTTAAAGCTTGATTATCTCTGAATTTATCCAGAAATTCTTCATCTGATTCAGTACCATTATATGGGCTTACTTCTGGCATGTTTTCAGACTGTTAATACAAATTGAAAAATTATTTAAACAAATTGATATAAATAGCCAATTTGATAGACCTTATTAAGAAATGATTTGGACGATTCTATTTGCAACAACAAAAGCCAGGATGCAGACACTGTCAGCGAAGCTTGACCATAAATGAATGTCATAACTGTAAACTAGAATGCAAATAATATATTAATAATTTAGAGAGTTATAAATCTGTTAAGACAAAAATTGTGAAAAATTGACATACCACTTTTGAACTCCAGATCCTATGCCCATAAATGCCATACATACCATGTAAAGAGACAATTATTAGTATTATACCGACTATGCCAATACCCCAATAAAACTCTGACTGGCTTGTATTATAGGATAGAATGTTAATCCATAGTTTTAAATTAAATGCTTTCAGCACTGATGTTGCAGTGAAAAGAAACCCATTTATCTAAAAAATAAAAACTAATTTAATGTAGACAATGGTACCGATTGGTAAGTAGTAAGTTGGTAAAGTAGACATTATTTCTCTAAATAACGGATATCAACAACTTGACTACATGTTGTCTTAAGCTAAATCAGGATGAGGCAACCCAGTGAAATCTCACAATTTAAAAGCAAGTTTAGCATTATTGGATCATTCTTGGATTATTTATTTATTTTAATTTATTTAAGATGAAAAAGGGCATGTGCCCCATTTAGAATATACAAAAAAAAACATGTTAAAAATATTACAAATAACATAAAAAATCAGTACATATTATGTGTGGTGATTAGTGACCATTAACCGATAATTATTCACAAATCATGAGATGCGATCTGGTGTGATGTAGGTTTCAGAAAAACATTTTCTCTCAACTCTCAACACGGCACGCAAGAATGGCACAATTACACAGAAGACAAACGCTTTGAGCCCTGAAGATGATCTCAATAAAGATCAAAACATTGGCATGATAAAGAAAATGTTTTTCTGAAACCTACATCACACCAGACCGCATCTCACGATTTCTGAATAAGTATATATTATATTACATTAAAAATAATGAAGCAAGCCATATATTATAAAATGTAATATAAAACTTTGAAAACTAAAATATAAGGGGAAGAGGAAAGAAGAGAAAGAGAAGAAAATAAATTAAATAAAAAAGAAAGAGGAAAAAATGTCTGTTGTATTAAGTGCAAAGTTATTCTTTGAACCCTGAATAGTTCATCCAGAAGAGAATTCCGGACTATCTTCCTGGGCCATTAAGAAGGAAAGATTAATGGTTTGTGATGAGAAAGGAGGCTCAGTAGACAGTCTTTTTGAGTTGATCTTGAATAAGAGTAATGCCGCCAATAAGGGGCTGAGGAATTGGTGAATATTTTGAAAACAAAATAATACTCCATTTTGTAATAATTTTTCACAGGAATCCCCAATAATGAATTGTTAAGATGTGATATATGACCAATGCGTGTAATGTGGTGCAATAACGTTAAGCCGGTGATTTGACTGATAATACGACTGATTAAAAAGGGAGTTGTGGGGAAGAGCAAATGTGGAAAAGTGAAAGAAAGTGCCTATGGCAATATCATAAGGTGAAAGAAGACCAAAGTATTTTTTTTTTTTTTTTTACAAATTGGCGAACCTGAGGCAGCCAGGAATGTTTTTCAGGTGATGATTACCTGATGTTTGTCAGCTTACAAGTTGGGTTCCGGGGGCTAACAACAGCTTCGTGTCAGCCCCCAACACAATCAGTTCCTAAATCCAAACCCATTCACTCTTAAATACATTCTTTCTTACTCATCCTACTCCCATCCATACTCCCTAACCATTGTAAGTTTGTGGAAACTTTTGCTTTTATTTCAAATTATGTATAACTTGCTAAAAAGATAAATTAATATACTTTATATAATAAAAATGAAATGTCTAGAATTATCCCTCCACACCAAATTGATCACACTGTGGTGGATTACTCGATAATCCTCCATCAGCCTTTAAACCTATTGTATAACTAGCCTAATTGAGAGTTGATGGGTTACTCAATATACCACCATTAGCCCTCTCACATATAATGCTAGAGCATTAACAATGACCATATTGCGCTGATCGGTTGAAGCGCCGAACACATCGAGAATTGATAGGACCATGGCACTTGGCAGTCTCTCTTAGATATTTCCTGAGGTCTGAAGTTGTTCTTGATCTGAAGAAATTTGCGGACTTGGATTCATCGCTTTCTCAACCTACAATTTTTGTTGACTTTGCATCATACTTTTTTTTTCAACGCCAGTGAGCCTTTTTGTTGTTTTTTTATTAATAAATGTGTTTGGTTATTTATTTCTTATTTGAAAATAATGTGCTGAAGCTGTTCTTTGTTGTTGTTCTTTTCTTTATATTTTAATTAAAGTCCTTTTTTTTATACAATTGTAATCCAATCTTTATTGTTTTAATTCCTTTGCCACTATTTTTCGGATGGGGAAAGATCCACGAGAATTAGGCCTTAATTTTGTTTGGTTTGTCAGTAACATGACATAGTCTGTCATACACACTATACTTTCACGCCAATAAATACATTCATCCTCAATACAAGCTAAGGATACAAAACTATCAATAATATATATAGTTTTAAAAAAAAGGAGGGTGTGGCACTCTTCAATAGCATTAAATTCTGGTCAAAATATAAGTGTAAACCTGTTTTCAAAGTAGTTTCAATGTGGGTAAAACTATCTTCCCTGAAAAAAATTACAAGATGTTATATTAGATGAAAAATTTCTCCACTGTATATCAATTTAGTGATATTATGTGAAGGATTTTCTTACAGACTTAAAATGAATAGCCAATAATGCTGCCTTGTTTAATGTTTTATAATTGCTTTAAAATTATTTGCTACACTTAAAGATAGCCTGCTTCAAATATATTTCGTGTCACTCTCTTCTCTGGGAGAAATTGCATGATTTAAATTAATCACAAAGGTACTTTACACACATATTTCTCTTTGAAGATAAGAATACCATTTGACAAATAATATAGTATCACAATAAGATATAATATTAAAAACAGTGCCAAGTTTAACAAAAATGTATGCCACAATAGTGTTTCCCTCTACTGGAAAAAAAAAAAATTGTCACCCTCTTTTGACCGTATCTTTATAATTGATTTGTTACCATTTGAGGTATATAGAATGTTGACTAACAAGAAATTAAAATTAGGTGCAGCAGAACTCAATATCAACTGACCAGGAAAAACGGTATAACTATTGCCAACGATAAACGGATACATCTAGTGTTTCTAGTCCGATATCTCAACTGGGTAACCCAAATTGCACCGAAAGAAAACCACATCTGCAACAGTCCTGTAAAAGGAGCAGTCAAAAACCTATTTCTGGGTGAGGCGAGTCTTTTTTATTTCTATTTACAAATATGATCTTAATTCATGAAGGTACCTAATCTATAATCTGGATATGGGTTGGTATATTTATACCATTTCTTCATGGACTGTTTTCTTTCTAAAAAACAGACACAGATAAGTATACAAAACCCCTAAAAAAAGAGGAAATGTAACAAAAGTAATACCTATCTCTTCTTCAATGTACTCACGCTCCCAAGTAACTCTTGTAGTTTTCTTAAACATTATTTTATTTACAATTTAAAAAAAAAAGACACCAAAAATCTTTAAATCAAAAATTTTTAATCAAGAGTTAAAAACTTTTAATATAAAGTGGAAAATACAGTTGTGAATGATTACAAATGTTCTATATTAGATTTTTCCATGTGTTTTCCCTCTCTTTCTTGTACAGTGTTATGTTGTACTTTTCATTTTTTTTTAAACGTTTCATTTTCTGTATTCCAAAAAGTGAAAGTTATGTGTTTAATTGGACCTAATATATTTCTGTAACTTGGCAACTCAAAACAGTTCAAAAGGTCGATTAAATAAACAAAACATTCAAACAATTTTAAATACTGTTTGTTCTCAAACATTAAGTAAGAGGGCCGCCGGTCACGAATGTTATTATTTAGCTTTGTTAATATTGGAATTTTATGTTTTTTCTTTGTTAAAAAATAAATAAAAGTGATATTAATTTCCAATTGTTTTCGCGATGATTCAATCGTGATGTCATTTCATATCAAGTATCGACACATGTGTACTGTTAGTGTGTTTGCAATCAGCTGAGAGGAGTACTGCAAGGTGCATGCCGACCGTCAGACGTGTTTTGTGGGAAGTACAAGAAAAAGTCGTCCCTTAGTTATTTTAGTCGATTGTTTTCGCTTTTAATTCGTCCAAAAAGTAAATTCGATCTTTGTGTCGGTTCCGTCGTCGTTGAGCGATTGAGCGCGTCGCGTGCTTGGCAGTAGGTCGCGAGTACCGTTTCTACGTGCAGTTCTGCAATGGCATCATCACGCGCCACGCCCGTGCCGTTGAAAGAGGCTGAAAAAGCCATATTCGAATTGATCAACAACAACGACATCGCCGGGCTCAAATCCCACATGGAAATCAACGCGTTGAAACCGGACGTGGTCGACGAACACGGCCTGACACCTTTGTCCCACGCTTGCTACAAAGGCAACAAAGATATAGCACAGTACCTCATCGATCAGGCAAGTAAAATATCCAAATCGTTCATTATTCATTTAAGTGCGATACCAACCAAAAAAGGTAACAAACATTCTTGGCCTTATAACATATCCGCAGTTGTGACGGACTTGCTACTGATAAGCATCATCAACAGCAGTAGAACACGTCTGGTTTATTAGGGAATGGATGTACACATGAGATGATGCTTCCCTTTGTACCGTCGTATAATAATAAATCACTGGCATGCCAAGAATTTGCATGGCCAAAGTCTAAAAAGTTGAACCTTAACATATGTAACATTTGTTATCTGGTCTGTGGTGTGACGAATCTATAAATTGGCTGTTTACAATCCTTTTAGGTCTGCCCATCCTAGCTGTTTTGGTGTCAGACAGATTTCAGTTTTGTATCACCTTCAGAGTTGGCAGTTTGTGTTTTGCCTTTTATAAGTACAGTGGAGTTTGCTTGTCTTGACTAAATAGGATCAAGATTTGTTCAAATCAGCTGAATAATTGCAATAATGCAGAAACAAGTATTAAAACAGGTCTGGTTTTTTAAGGAATGGATGGTAGGGGTGTTGGTGGCCGCAATGGTTTAGGTGTTGACATGGTGCTCATCACTGTAAGTTAAAGGACCTAGGTTTGAATGCAGGGCTGCTTGATTAAACCCTACATACTTGCAAATGGGCTTTTTTCAAAAACACCACTCCCAAAGGGTTCATATAACCCCGTAGTTGAAATATTCTCTCTCTCTCACTAACACACTCTCTCTCCTCTCTTTTGACTTTACTGAAGGTACACTACTAAGGTAATAGAACTAATTTCTTTCTCACCATTTTCAGTTTTATCTTGCTAAAACCTTCATTTGAAGATAGTGAGAACTGAAATGTGTCTGACAGACCAAAATGTTCAGAAATAATTTTATTTGGTCTGTGTACCTGTAACTTGTTTGCTTCTGATCCTTTTAGGCCTGCTCATTCTAGCTGCTTTCGTCTGTCAAATATTACAATCCGACTTTGTATAACCTTCAGAGGTAGGGATCACCTTGGATTCATGTTTGCGTTTTGTGAAACATGTCCTTTTATTTGTACAGTGATGACCGTATGTCTGAATTAATTGGGACCAAGACCTGTTCAGATCAGCAAGATATCTGCGATAATTCAAAAATATACTGTAAAATAGGTCTTTTTTTCCCCATTTGGCGTCATAGGGATTTCTCCCTTTAGCAATTATACTTTCATCTATTGTGCTGATCGCTGCTAATGAATGTTTCTTATGAACACTGGATCAAAGTATGGTCTTGAAAAAATTCACTTGTTACTGCCAAGCTTTCGGCCCATTTCAAGGTGATCAGGCAAAACTATCTTAAATATATCTACAGATTGCCATATTTATTTATGTTTTTTACAGGCGATCACAAATTTCCCTGAAGATTCTTGGTTCTTCCTTGGCAATGTTAGGACTGAGTCGGTCTTCAAGGAAGTTTAAGATCGCCTGTAAAAGATTTAAATATGTCAATCTGTAGACATATATAAGATCAGAAATTATGAATGTGGGGTGAGTGTGTAGATTCACTTTTTGTAAATGCTTTGTACATGCTTTTTTCTTCAAGATCCAGAATGTTCATGAGTGAAAAAATGGTCGATATTTCTCCCATTGAAATTGAATTTCTTAGAATTTATTTTATGTAAAGAAATCTCAGGAATTGCGCGGTATCAATATCTACATGACTATTGCCTCTTCCTAGCTATTGTAGGACAGTTGCATAGGATCTGACATTTTTGTCTCTTCTAGACATAATCAACATTGCCATCTGTTGATGCCCAATTTGATTTATGTTGGTCCTTTTGGAAAGGAAAAAATGTTCTGTAAATAGAAGAAGAAGAAGAAAAATGTCNTGAGCGGGTCTTACGAGTGAGATGTGAGGAGTTGAATTGGAGGGATTGGATGATGTAAGGAGGACGACGAGTGTGGATGGGCTGGAAAAGAAAGCAACCTAGGAAACTATGCACGGAAGGAGGGGAATAGCCAGAATATACCTATTAGAGTTTTTTCTTCCTTCCTGTAAGCATGATTTCTTTATCCCATTGGGTTGTTTTTGCAATTAGTCTTTTCGCTTCCCTCTGCCTGGCTGTCTGAAATTATTATTATTGTTGAAATCTTTATTATTTATTTCATACGCACATGTTTCTATGGCTAGCAGTTCGGCTTGAAATATGGTTGTTACAATGCCGAGATCCATTGGAGACAAATTACCTGCACAATCTGTACATCAATACAGTTGTTGAATATGTAGGGAAAAAACAAAAAACAGTATCATTAATATAAAAATTTCTGTAAGCTAGTCAATTTAGTAGTTTAAGTCGCTCTCATTTGTATTTATGGATAATTATTTTGTAATTCTCACTATTTAACCAGGGTGCAAATGTTAATTTAAATGAACACGAGAATGGTTACACGGCGCTGCATTTCGCCGCTTTATCAGGGAAGGCTGATCTATGCCAGCTTTTACTTGCCAATGGAGCGAAGACACATATGCAGAACTCTGTTGGAAGGACGGCAGCCCAAATGGGTGCTTTTGTAGGTAAAATAGTTCAATTTAAACAGTTACATTGTCATTTGTGACAACCACTTATATGTGACAGGCAACCACCAGTGTGTAGCCGTTATAAACAACTATTTACCAAAATGTGAAGTGGACTATTACACCATATCGCACAGCTTGAACCAAGGACCATTTTTATCACCTACTGTAGCTACTACTGTTCATAAATTAATTATGCAGGTGAATCTAACTTATTTTTTACTGTCGTTCCTTGGTTTTAACATTTAGGAATTTTTGAATTTCAGGTCAACCTCCATCCCATCAGGATCGCCCTAACATGTCAGCCGTTGGTCGATGTGTTAAATAATGTTAAATTCGTGTTGGAAATGATGAGCCAAAAACTGATGCGGAGAGGAGCTGAGAGTAATGAAGTGCTTTCTTTTAAAATTCACTACTTATCTTTTGTAATAGGAGAAATTATGAAATGCAGGTAAGCTTAGCTAAATGCTTATAAAATTCTTATAATTTATTGATTGATTCGTGCAGGAAACCAGACCAACAAACAACCGGCTTAATTGAAACATTTATAAAGAGAATTCTTAGAAATGGAAGTGGAGAAAAATTTTTAGAATCTCTTATAAGGGAAAGTATAAGAGAATATCCGTATAGAGATTGTGGTATATTCCACCAGGTATTTATTTATTTAAAAAAAAAAAAGAAAAAGAGTAAGTGTTAATTTTTTTGTTAGATGATTACTTCCTTGACAGCTTTTAAAAATCCTCCACCGGCCTTACAAGTGATATCTACGGTTATTAACGGCCAAAGGGGTTTCGAAAGTGATGTCAAAGTTTGTACGACTTGCAGTGAAGAGACCCAGACGAAAAAATGTGTTAAGTGCAAACAGGTGCAGTATTGTGGGCGAGAGTGCCAAAGACTTCATTGGTTTGCACATAAAAAAGAATGTAATAGAAATGCTGATGATTTAGTCACCAAAGTTGAGGCCATTAAAATAAATTGATAACTCTTTTCTCATTGATCAATTTTTTAATTTAATTTTTTATTTTTTTTAACAATGTGTATTTTTTTTTACTTATTATCAGTCTAAAGCCCCATTATTGTCTTGTGACTTATAAAAATGTTTTAATTTTGATATTATTGATTGAAAATCACCAATGTTACTTTTCATATGATTATTTGTAGGAATGAATTTGTTTGTTGACATTTTATACTATCTACATTTACCATTGTGGTGAATAAAATATTTGTACCTGATTAATGGTGTATATTTTACTCCATGCTTAGAATCTTCCCTAATTTTTGTATCAAGTTTATGTATAAAGTTATTTAAAACCATTAAATTCATTAGTTTTCGTGGTCCGCTTGACCAAGTTAAAAAAGTGTCATGAGCAGGATTCGCATGAATGATCCTCAACTAAAACCCTTAATTAATTGAAAGATATTAATTGGTCAAGCAGACCACGAAAAATAGTGAATTTAATAAGTTAACATGAAGTATATCTTCACAAAAGCTCTCTGTGGCCATTTCATTTATTGTCGAGAATCAAATAGATTACATGACATTTGAAAAATGGCAAAAAGGAGGGAAAATTCAAAAGGTGGGGTTAAGATGGGAAGTTAGTGACCGAGTGGATCAAGGTCACGATAGCTCAAGTGGTAGAGCAGCGGCGTATCTAGCCGAAGATCGTGGGTTCGAATCCTGATCGTGTCGCTGACTTTTTTATCTCAACTAAAAACCTTAATTAATAGGTTTGAAAGTTATTTAAAACGTCTGCAGCTATTGACAATCCCTCCTTTTTTCCTGGTATGGGTGACAACATTGTTAACTTGTGGATTTTTATTTTAAGTTTACTCTTCTAGCATAAATTTATAAATATGTAACTAGTCTTCCTCAAGATTCCAGTTTTCTTTCCCCCCCAACAAAATCAGAAGGCAAGTCCATTTTTCATTTTATTTTGCAAAGGTATATCAACAACGAGGTTATATGAACCCTCAGGTGCTCATGTTTTTGAAAAAAAAAGCCCATTTGAAAGTGTCAGGTTTGAATTCAGAGCCGTTGGGTTCGAACCTGGTACCTATACAGTGATGAGCTCTCTTGCTGTGTCAATGCCTTAATCATTGTGGCCTTTCCTAAGTTATTTTTGTTTCAGTATATTTGTGCTAAAATTGAATTAAATTTATCCTAACACATTTTTTAGATGCCCAAATAAAACTCATAACTACATTTTGTAAAAAAAAGCTATGTAATATTACAAAAACTTATTACAAATCAATAATTATTTGCCTAAATTTTCTTATTATTTGACAGACTAATAAAATGTAAGTAAATAACTCCTGATTTGTTTTAATATTTATAGTATAATTTAAAATCTTAAAAAAAGTCACAATTTATTATTTTTGGGTACTACTTTTTTCTTCTTGCCAGTACTGCTAGAATTATTACTTTAAATATTTAAATTTAATTATTAATTTGTAATTATATTTTTTCTTCATTTTAGGTAAATATAAAAATGTCCAAAAGGTGTTTGGATTTGGATGCAGAACCTGGCTTTAATGAATGGTTATCATGCTAAAAACAAGCTTTATTATTGTTAGCTAAAACTGAATATTGGGGGTGTTGGTGGCCGCAACAGTTTAAGTGTTGACAGGTCACTCATCACATTGTAAGGTAAAGGATCTGGGTTCAAATTCAGGAGCCCTGCATTCGAACCTGACATACTTACAAATGGCTTTTTTTTTCTTTCAAAAAACACCGTCACAGTATATAACCGTAGTTGAAATATGCTCTTTGAAAAAGATTTTTTTCTTCATAATTTAGTAAGGTGGTTATTTAAGTATTAATTAGGAAGAAACCATGCTTTTCATTTTCCACCTGTGTATTAGAAAGGAAGTAGATATATTTTCTTTCAAGTTTTCTAACATATATTGGGTTGTCCGGAAAATAATGCAGGATTTTGGTATTAAACAAAAAAAAAGAAACTAGTTACTTTAAAGCAATGTTCTTTAATCAAAANGAGTAATCCTGTAAACGTAAACAGAATATTTTATATAGATTTTTTTTAATGAAAACTTAAAATCCTGCATTATTTTCCGGACAACCCGATAGATTACATACATTTATAGAAAAATGTTAGCAATTTTACATTAATTTTAGAACAAAAGAATAGGTGCCAGCAGTTTCGACAGTTTGTAATACAAAGATAGCCTTGTACCCAGGCGCTGGCAATTGTGATTTTCTCAGAGCAGAAATAAGAGCTGGAAAAATAAGTCAGTACAATTAAATTAGTACAAAAGATGACACCACATATGCTAAAAACATTTTTTGAGTAGAATCATCCTTAAAAAAATTTAATAGACATACCCCCACCTCAATTTCTAAGGATTCAATTTTTGAAATAAATCAGCACAGTGAATTGATGCAGGTTAGACATAGTCAACGTGTCAATAGTTAGTCCCACAGTCGTGGGTTCGATTCCCACCGTCACCTCTGGACTTTTTGTCTTACACCTTAGGGGACCAGTGGTCGCAATTGAAGAAAAAAATAATATGATACTCATCAATGGAAAGTCTGGGGTGGGATCGGATCTCATCGACCCTGAATTTGGTCCTGACCCCCTTCAAAAATGAATTTGTTTGATGGAAGAACACCGGCACACCTTGTTGTGAGCCCCAAAAATGGAGCCAGGAAGAAAGTACAATAAGCTGTAGTAAACAGCTGAAGGCGTTGACACGGCGCTCATCACTGTAAAGGTCCCAGGTTCGAATCCAGTGGCCCTAAATTCAAACCAGACATACAAATGGGCTTTTTTCAAGAGCACCAGCACTTTATTTATTTATTAGGTATTTATACATGAACAATTATAAATTATGTAATATATTAATAAACGTAGTTTTATCAAACTCAGTCAGTTTAAATTAAATGGTTACGGTTCTCATATTGGATGACATTCCTTAACACTTTTGAAATAGCCAAGGCATGACATCCATTCAAGTCGAACACAGTACAACTGTACTCTACATGCTAAACTTATATGTGGGACATGGCTCAAAATTAGGTGTGCCAACTATGTGACCTAGTCTATAGAGAATGATCCTTCTACTCATGCCTTTGGAGGTCCACCTACTGATCATTCCATTGATCAATCCATTTGCCAAACTGGACTAATGATGACATAGTTTTTATAATATTATTAATGACAGAAGTGGTCAAGTGAGGAACAGAGTTATTTTAGTGTAGATATTTGTTATTTTGCCAGCCATGTCCTTTTTTTAGTCTTGTAAAATGTGAAATGGGAACATTATATGTTACAAGCTTATTATTAACTAACTATTGATATCCGCATCCGGAGATAGGTTGTCGTGCTTCCTTGTGGTCGGGTGGTCCATGGTGGTGGGTCAGTATAGCGGAGCAATAGTTAAATTTGTAGTTAGTTTAGTAGTTAGCAGTATATAGTACAAAATTTTTGCTGTGTGGTGCTGTCCTGTTTAGTGTTGAGTTCGCCTCGCACTTTTGGTCGTGGGGGGTCACCAGCTAGTCCTGAGGTGCGCTACATCTTGTACACTGCAAGATATTAAAGAAATAAAGTCATAAAAAAACAACTTGTTTCTGAAACAGCCAAACTGTACTGAAGAAAATATGAGAATAAACAGACCCCTAAGATGATCAAACCACATTGTAACTTAAAAACCAAGAAAAATACCACAAAATCAGTTATACTTTTTAATTATATTAATTAAGATTATCCTATTCTGTTCAGTTTTGTTAGAGGTATTCAACATTTAGCTATATTCAAATTCATATTTTTATTGCGGACTACCAACAGTCATATCAGCCTAGAATGCTGTGAGGGCTGATGGGTATTTGATATTCCATCCTTGGCCCTCTCATTTTCTTATCCTCTCAAACAAACTGCTCTATGTACAAACAACCAAATACATACAGAGATGCACACGGTAGGGCTAAACAATAATTTACAAATTGTCCAATATTTAAAGATGGGGAACCTCTCCATTTCCCTTAAAAATTGGAACAGAGGGCCCAACAACCCACTCTCCAAAAGAATGTATTTATATCAGGTGCCATGCCTACTCACTCCATGTAAGGGGCCAAGGCTTCCTCAACCAAGTGTAACATACTGAGCAACGTTTCTTTCTATACAAGCAAGACACCTGTGCAGAGTTTGCAACAAAAGCAGGTGTCTATGTGTCAGTTGGGTGAGCAGGATCCATTTCTTGCATTTCAGACCATCAGTGGGCCATAGCTCAGTCGTGCTCTTGACGAACCAGTGCACCGATTTTGTTTTTTTGCGTTCTTTATTGCTCATACAGCATCACCACGACAGATCTGCTTTCACTACTTCTGCCTTCAACATGTTCATCGTCCTCCCAATGTGCCTGGTTACCCAGATGGCTACCACCGTTTTTCCTAGGTGCTCCAACTCAGCATATCTTTAGCAAGAGGGTCCACCGAGAATCTGTCATGAATAGCAGAAACCATGTTCAGGGAGTCTACAACTGCTGTATGTCCCATATTCATCCTTGGCATAGCCTAATGACCTGTTCTATGTGCTAATTGTCAATACATTAGCAAATACAAATAAATATGTATATCAAGAATATAACACAAACATGTAGTATGCGAGATTCAACTGGAGGTTACCAAATATTTTATTTAATTGGTTGGCAATATTGCATTTTGAACATGAGGGTTGAAGGTTTAAATATTGTTTAATAAAAGCTAAACAAACAACATTATTGACATAAAAAGTCCTAACGTCTCTTTCTTTTGCATTTGCAACATGGTCTTGGAGCACACTGTTTATAACTTGGGTCAGCGTAATTGTGGTGAAGCTCATATTTTAGCACTCTTATTCCTGTTATAAGTAGTTTTATACAGTAGCGACAAGTGGTTAGGGTGATAAAAACACTTTTTGCATCAGTTACATTTATGAACTCATAAAGTCATAATCTTACAAATTCGTAGAAAATTACCAAATGGCTGGTTGGCACTTTTCTATACAAATATATCTATTAGATACCTTTGTTTAAAAAGATATATGTATATATCTTTATATATTACATAACTCTATGATTTATACACCTTATATTGTATCAATACAGCGTTCAGTGGATGGCCGATGTCCACATTGACAAAAAATCTATTATTTAAAAAGAATGAAAAAAAAAACTTTTTTAAATCTAGTTTTGTTTTGCAAACTCCGTAGCAATATTATTGTACAATAAATACACTGGAATTTCATTCCTTTCTTACACTGATATATTTATGAATGTCAATTTGCAATATTATATCATCTCAGATGAATATTTTTGACATACTACAAACAATCTATGGTCTATTGTCTACTAGATTATTTTTACTACACTTTAATGGTGTTCTTTTAGGAAAACATTTTATAATAGTATAAATTGATTTCTATCATATTGTCAAATCTACTTATGTTTGAGCAACACGACATACAAAGCCCACTTTAATATAGAATCAAACAGTGCATACAGTTTGATTATAAATCTTTTTAAGTTTATGTTTAAATGTTTATGTTATAAAGTATGTAGTATATACACTATGATATAAAGTATTTTGCTGTAAAGTTCTAGTTTTTCTTTTATGTTGTGAAATCAACTACTCTAATTAATTAGCTAAATATTGCAAGTCAGATCAGTTAAGCTCAACTACTTTTGTGACAGTTTTTTATGCAATATTTCTGTTTTTCTATTTGTAAAGCATGGTACCAAAACCCAACGTTTTACCTAATAAATTGTCCTGCTAACCGCTAGATACAGACTATTGTTCATTTTAAAACTATTTAGTTAGAAATATTAATAATAAATTACAACAATGATCCCCCCGCCCGAATAAATGTTTACCATTCGGGTATCATACACAGGTCGCTGAAATGTACAAATTACACAGCTTCCGTCGCCAAAGGGGTCGTGAGCCTGATCTGCGCCGAGTCTGCTTGAATTCCATTCATGGATAACGACCTGGCCAAAACAGTCTGTTGGTCTCTCCATGGCGTCGTCAATATTTTTATCCTCTGAAAGAGATGATTTATTTTATTATATTTGGTTAGACTTTTGTTTAACATATATTAAGGTAACATTGCATTGTACATGATTAAAAACTTTATTTATTTTGTGTAATATTTAAAAACACTGTGAGAAGGCTAAGTTTTGTTTAGGTAAATAGTTATGTAACTAATTAATGGAGTAAAAATTATTATATTAAATGTATTGAACAATTAAAATGAAAATATGCAAAAGTCGAAGCAACACATTTTGTAACTTCTTTGGATGCTCAAGAATCCTTTGGAAAGAAAACATCAATAAATACCAAATGATGAAGCCATGGGGAAAAAGCCCCACATAGATCTCTCTCTGGGGAGGTGTGCTAAAGGTCGGTGCCATCATAGTAGTTATTAATCAGAGGTCAAAACTAAGTCAGCAGATGAGTGGAGGTCTGTTGGTCATGATTGAGTTTAGAGTAGTCAATGGTCCGTGCCTAGTGATAACTTAGAAGTTGGATTTTGAATGTGACACTTGTTGGTTGCAAAAATGGAGACGAGGGGCTAGACCTTTGTTAGATTTTTATGAAGTGAGGGACCTTTGGAGGGAAAGTGCCTGGCTTAGGTAATTCCTTTTTAGATTTTAAGCAGTTAATAAACGTTGTTTTGAAATGTGAAGACCTGGATTATTTTCCTATTGTCCCAATGACGGATTCGGAAGGAAAGTCAATCATGATTAATTCTTCCCATTTTTCTCTCCAAGATATTCTCTCTGCGCCCTAACTACGACATACCCCACTGTACTTAACAACCAAAACGTTTACAAAGATATCTAAACGGAACCCTGGATACCAGTTAATTTAGAAAAAACTGCTCTTACTTGCAGGAATGTCCCTGGTGTAACTATTATCTGATAAATTGCCACTGCAGGAATCATTAGGACGCTGGAACCTGCTATAGCCCAGCCTATGCCATTTGCCCAACTAGGGTAGACATAATCTTCGTACGTCAATGGTTCATATCCCATGAGACCATAAACAATAATAAACTGAAAATAAATTTAGAATTTACATCGATAATCTTAATAATAATTATTCTTTTTTTATGTAAGGTCTTTGGTTGAGATAAAAAAAAGTCAGTGTCACGAGCAGGATTCGAACCCACTATCTTCGGCTAAATACGCCGCTGCTTTACCACTTGTGCTATTGTAGTAGAGCAGCGGTGTATTTAGCTGAAAGTCGTGGGTTTGAATCCCACTCGTGACACTGACTTTTTTTAATCTCAACCAAAGACCTTACATAAAAAAAAGAATAATTAATTGAAAGAAGTAACTTGACCAATTGACCACTAAAACATAAACGGATTAATACTTGATAATAATATGTGTTGAAAAGTCTTACCATAAGAAATAGCGGTGCTAAAAACCGCCAACAAACCCTCCAGTAAATTCCTGGGCTGAATCCTATCATGTCTTTTATATCGTTTGAAAACCTGTCGATTCCTTAAAATAATTTTTTTTTAAGTTAATGTCAAAATGGCAGATTTTTTATTTTTTATAACACAGATTTCTTACCATAAATCCAGGCAACTGCTATACTTTCAAAGAAGACGGCAAATAGCATTGAATACCCGGCAGCGTAACGGTCCAAAAGATTAAAAAAGTAAAATCCACCCTGGTTGACAAATTAACTTTTTAAAAATAAATAATATGTTTTAATTTTTTATATAAATTACCTGAGCACAGGATGCTAAACCAACTATGAAATAAAGAGTGAATAAACAAGCGACAAAAATTTCTCTATTTTTCCCAATCAAAGGAAATTCATCACTCAGAGCAGTTATTATAGCTTCAGAACCGCCGAACTAAAAATGACAACCCATTAATTTTAATTGTCACACTGACAAATTTTGATAGTTACCGAGCTGTCCAACCCTAATGTGAGGAGCATCATGAAGAATATCAAAGCCCAAAATATCGATCCGGGCATCGTCGCAATTGCTGCTGGATACACTATAAATACTAGACCTGGGCCTTCTGTCGCTACATCTGCAATATTCCTCCCCGTCACATGAGACATATAACCGAGTACCGAAAATATGACAAATCCCGCCACAAAACTAGTACAAGAGTTGATAACTGAGGTCAAAAGAGCATCCCTGAAAATCAAAACAGTATTAACAAACCGTCTTTATGAGTTTTTTCTGGAATTACTCACTGATAGACATTGTTATGATATTCATTATATGAAGCGTATGCTAGAAGCACACCAAATCCAGGGCCCAATGAAAAAAATACTTGAGTCGCAGCATCAACCCATACCTAAAATATTTGTTTAGTAAAGTTTTTACTTTTTTTTTTTTTTTTTAATAATCCTACCTCTGCTTTGGTTATGGATGTAAAGTTTGGACTGAGGTAGTATTTTATTCCTTCAGCCGACCCAGGCAATGTAATTCCTCTTATTAATAAAATCAAAAGTACTGCATATGGAAACAAAGCCGTAAACCATACAACCTACATATATAAAAACAAAAATATCAGCTTTTTTCTCTCTGTTGTTGTAATTGCTTGGAAAATTTTCATACGCACCTTTCCTGATGTTGAAATCCCTTTCCACAAGCTAAAATAACAAATTAAGTAAACTGCGAATAAACAAAGCGCCATGTCCCATTTAATTGAACCTAAATCATGGAGTCCTTCGCTCTGATGAAGCTCAAGGATGGCACGTCTAAAATTTAACATGTATTAAAAATTGTATACTATTCAAAACTAAAAATAAACAGAAAATTATAATACGTGAAGTATTCAAATGATGCTGATGCGAATTCTTCAGATGGCGGGGGCACTGTAGAAATATTGGTTTTAGTCATGTTCATCGTCATGTTCATTTCCCCTGCTGACCAAATGTTCACGTCAAGCTGATAAAAAACAAATCTTATATAAATATATCGCAAATATTTCAAATCAAAGAGGCTGCTTTACAGGTCTACACTGTGGTGTGTTCCAAGGGTTGTCACAGGTAGTCCAGGGAAGCATGCTGGTAAAGGATGCGAAGAAGAACCTCAGAGCCCAAGCGATTATCACATTGTAGTAGAAATCTACGTAAAAAGCGATAAGAACTACTGCATACCCTATTCCTGTAAAATTAAAATTCTAATATTATTCAAAGGATTAAAATTTTATAATTCATGATAAAGACAAATAAAAATACTGCATGCTACCAATACTTGTGCCACTTGTGAAAATCTAAAAAGAGGTTAGACTGACAAAAAAATCTTCATAAGATCGGATAGCCAAGGAACTATTTAAGTACTAGCATGTAAAAATCACATCACAATTAGTCAATAAACGCATCTAAAATTGACAAATCCTGGGGAACACAACAACAACCTGATATCGTGGTTACTAGGGCACAAAGGAATTTTGGTTAACATCACACAACATATTCGCCATAGTAGACATTAACAACAGCATGAATAACATACTGACAGACCTTAACGCATTATACAAAAATTCACTAATTTCGTGGTCCGCTTGACCAATTAATACATTACAATTAATTAAGTTTTTTAGTTGCGATGAAAAAAGTTAATGGCACAAACGGGATTCGAACCCACGATCTACCACTGGAGCAGGGAAAAAAGGAGGGAAAACTCATAAGGTGGGGTTGAGATAGGAAGTTGATGTCCGAGTGGATCGAGGTCACGATAGCTCAACTGGTAGAGCAGCGGCGTATCTAACCGAAGATCGTGGGTTCGAATCCCGTTCGTGCCATTAACTTTTTTTCATCTCAACTAAAAACCTTAATTAATTGTAATTATACAAAAAAATAAATTACACCGCAGAAATAGAAACCAACAATAGTACAAACCTCCTAATATAGGAGTCAAACACTCACAAAAACAGAAGACAAACTACCATTTGACAAATAGAAAACCGACAGAAACTGACATCATCATACAAGTCGACTCAAACCACCCGCACAGCACTGAAATAAACGACAGACAGGAGAAAATCAATCCCACTAACCAAAGAAAAGTACGAAAAAGAATACTAACCAAAGCACACGATAACGGCTATAACACAAACCCAATCATCAAAATAATAAACATAACGACACCACAAAAAGCAGACTTTAAATGGACCACATTCACATTCATTGGGAAAGAAACATACAAACTAACTTATTTAACAAATCATTCATAAAAACAGCACTGAAAACCACAAACACAATAGGAAAATCACTAAGACAAAACATCGACAAGACGGACCAACTAGGAAAAACTCAGAATGTATACTAAACACGCGAATGCGGAGACATATACATGGGACGACAGGACAAAAAATAAAAGACAGATACAACGAACATATCAAATCATTTAGGGAGAACTACGAAAAAATCGAACAGGAGACACCTAATATTAAACAACCGATACTTGAAAACTTAGAAATATATAAACATAACACATTCAATAACAAAACACTCATAAAAGTTTACAATAACTCACAAACATCGTTTACATCATTTAAAATATACAAATTAAAAAGAAAAATGGCTGAAATTCAAAATGACCAACTGGAAAAAAACAAAAAGACCCGACTTATACATCAAACACACCGACAAACAACACTAAAAGCTGCACAGCTTTTCATACCATACACGACCTCGTAACTTCACTCCAAAGAAATCACCCAAATACTGAAGATGGCGAAATCCCGAAACACGTCTGAAGCAACAAAAAAGCGAGGATAGGCAGACCAAGATGATAGGTAAACATCATTTAATATGAAAAAGTTTAGGTCTGATCAGTGATACTTCATATAGGAGAAGGAAGTAGACTTACGTTTTTAAGACAAAATTGCATTTATCTCTAAATTACATAAAAGTAAATTCATAATTAATAAATTGAATAAATATTTGGTATAAAAATGTTTTTGCTTTTATGCTAAGAGGAATACTCGATGGGTCGTTTTATTTCGAAATATTTTATTTATGTATTCGATTATGTAAGTCGAATTTATCTACGAAACGAGGGATCGAAGTGCCCCCTTGGTGGCAAACTACTAGGCAAGACTCAAGAGTAGAGTCGATAAATACCTCAAGGGTACGAATACCGACCAACTTGTTGCCTCCTTTATCCTCAGTATTCGTTACAATACCCGTACGAGGCACCCATTTCCCGAGAAATTCCCCTCTGAGAAATGGTAGTCCGATTGGAACATATGTGCCCTGATAGGATCCTCGACTGTTACGGAAAAACACTTTCCCTTCCCTCATTTTTTCTCAAGCCCGCGGAGTCCCGATCTGATTTCAATTAGGGCCCGCTTTCAAAGCTCTCTTCTTTATCGATAAAGAAAATTTGGACTTTCTAACTTAACTCAATTGTAATTCCTGGGTTTTTTATTGATTATTTTTAAACTAGGCACCATCAAGGGAAAACCAAAATGGATGTAAAAATGGAAAGCGTTGTGGCTCGTTTTTCTCTCTCTCTCTCTCTCTCTCTCTCTCTCTCTCTCTCTCTCTCTCTCTCTCTCTCTCTTTCTACATATTCTACAACTGTAACTTATATATCACGTTTAACAAAGCATACAGGAACTTAATTTGTTATTTAAAGAACACGAATTGCCATGGCATTAAAACTTTTTGCAAATACTGATTTCAACTAAGCCACTCTTGCAAAGTGCAAAAATCAAATCTCTTTTCAAACAGGTCATACTTTAAGTTAAGAGGAACTCTCATAAGTTTAACTCATGAACATAAGTGGAATATAAGCTTTGAGGTTTTTAGAAATCAAAATATTTGGGACAGAATAATAATTCGAATAATTCACGCGCTAAGTTTGTAATAAACGATATTCGATTATTGTTAGAAAATTGTTTTTAATAAACATTGTGGGAATTCAATAGAAGACTGAAATTTGAGTGGTTTTGGTGCTTAATGTGATTTTCTTATTAACAAAGCAATATTCTAAAGGGGTTAGGTAAAAAAACGATCTAACACCTCCAATTTACTCTAATTTCTGTTAATCCTGCCCACATTTTGAATCGTGATATAATTCCCCCAAAAGAGTGAGAAAGAGCATTTAATTCAATCTGTAGGAAACAGGGAGACTTCAAGAGATATTATAATCCGGATTTTGTACAAATGGAAGAAATTTTTATTTCAGCATGACGAACGAACACTTTGCGTCATACCGTTCGACAGAGGGTCCCTTTTAAACCATGGTTAAATATATTAAAATAATTTTTTAATGATGCAAATGAAAGAAGAAGGAACAACACTATTACCATTTAATATGCATTAAATAAAATTTAACATTTATTTAAATTATTTTTTTATTTTGGTATAAAGTTTTTAAATAAATGAATTCTTTTAAAAGAGGCAAAGATAATGTGCAACCTTAAAAATACAAAGTGCTCAGAAATATCTTGATCAAATTTTATCAGGTTTCGTGATCCGCTTGACCAAATAAATTCTTTTAAATTAATTAAGGTTTTGGCTGAGATAAAAAAGTCAGTGTCACAAGCGGGATTCGAACCACGACTTTCGGCTAAATACGCCGCTGCTCTACCACTTGAGTTATCGTGACTTCGATCCACTCGTACACTAACTTCCCATCTCAACCCCACCTTTTGAACTTTCCCTCCTTTTTGCCATTTTTCAAATGTCATGTAATCTATTTGATTCTCGGCAAATGAAATGGCCACGGAGAGAAGTATACTTCATTTTGCTTATTACATTTTATCAGGTTTCGTGGTCCGCTTGACCAAATAAATTCTTTTCAATTTATTAAGGTTTTGGCTGAGATAAAAAGTTATAGTAAGATCTTGATCAAAGTTAAGTAGTCGCTCGAAGTTTTTAAAAAAAGAAGAAACTTTATTGTCAAAATTGTACAATGTTTAATTTTAAACCGACAGAGGGACGGGCAGAAGGCTATCGTACGAGTAAGGCAAGTATATTTGGGGATTAGGGTTTTTATACTTAAAAAAAAAAATGCTGATTAAGATGATGGGCGGCCGTCTGAACCCGCCAGACTTTGCTGAAGTGTTGGTCTGAAGGGCGTTTGGTTATTCCGTAACTTCAATGACCTTTTCTTCATGAATATCCAGCTTACTGTTTATTTTTGTTCCCTTGAACAACCCCTGTAGGGCAGGCGTCAGCGATTAGGGAGATTGTCAGGGTATAAGTGAGTCAATTAGTCAATCCCTGACAACCGTCAGCTTCCACAGCGTTCATTTTGTTCTGACTTTGCTCCTTCAGACGACCCGCTCCTAGCAATGGTCTACTTATATAAGGGAATAACGTTTCCACCTTGGATGACTTATGAAGTTAAGTGGCTCAAGGTGTCAGGCCATTAAACAGCTATGAATGATGATGAAAAGTTCTATGTTTCTATGATTGATAGGAGTTATCTACTGTAAGATTCCTTCAGAATAGGACCACGGTCTCATGGAGCTTGGCGTACGAGGAAAAAACTACGAGCTGTACTATACGTACATTGTCCTGACCTTATTCCTTCAAGCTTTCAGATTTTCAGTGTCATGAAGGATAATAGGTTAATACTTTGTCAGACGCAAGAACTAAAGATGTCTTTGTGGTACCGATAGGGAATTGAGCAGGATCGAGTGTGATGATCTCTGTTTCATGATTAAAAGGAGTTGTCCATTGCGGGATTCTTTCGTTGTTTCGTCGATTCTGATCGCAAAATAAGACACGGTCACATTCTCCTCGACATGACAAAAACTATGAGCTGTAGTGTACTCACTCTGTCTTGACATCCCCCCTTCAGAGCTTGCAGAGCAATGGTCTTCTTCCTTTAGAGAGAAATGTTTAATACGATGTCAAATGTAAAGAATGAAGTAGATCTTTTAGTATCGCCAGGAAATAGAGAAGCAGTCTTCTAGATGGCATTGAGTATGACAGGCTGTAATTTCATGATTGATAGGAGTTACCACTGTGAGATTGTTCCAGAATGGCTTTTTGTCAATTCTGATCTATAATCGCAACAATTATGTCCGAGTTATTCGAGTGACAAAACAAACGGTCAGACGTTTCTCGACGTACTAAGTCCAACGACGAGCTGTACTATAACGCACATATTCCTGACCTTGTTCCTTCAAACTATCAGCTTTTCAG